AGCCGTTAGAGATTCCTCACTAAAGCTTTCAGCAGTCAGCTTTGCAAGTTGAGTTTTCCTCCAGTAGGACGGGTCTAAGGCACCAAGGTCGGCCCGTATATGTATGATTAGTAGCCGAGTGTGGGCGAGTCCCGTATCTCATAGTATTCGAGTGTGGGCGGGGCCCGTATCTCATAGTTTAGTTGAGTATGGATATTTGATTGATTGATAGATTTAGTTATACTTGATGTATGTGTGATACTTGTATGTATGTTTAGTAACTGAGTGTGGGAGGGGTCCGTATCTCATAGTAGATGAGTGTGGGCGGGGCCTGTATCTCATAGTAGTTGAGTGTGGGTGGGGCCCGTATCTCATAGCCAGTGGAGTGTGGGCGGGGCCCGTATCTCCTAGATAGCGGAGTGTGGGCGGGGCCCGTATCTCCATGAGTGTGGGCAGGGCCCGTATCTCCTAGTTGTATGTTATGCGTGTATGGTATGTGGTAGTTTGGGGAGACTCACTAAGCTTCGTGCCTACAGTTTTTAGTTTTGGTTTCAGGTACTTCCTATAGCAAGGGGAAGAGCTCAGGATGATTGCATTGCACACACCATTGATTCAGTTTGGGATGTTTAGACTCTGATATTTGACACATGATTTTAATACAGTATTTTATTGTGATGATTTGAGATACATTACTTATGTTCTTTTTATGAGATGACAAATGGTAATTATGGTTTTTATAAATAATCAGAACGAAATTTTTGGACCTTATTTATGGGATGTTTCAAGAGCAAGTCAGGGTCTTCATATTCTAGACTTTATTTTACAATAGGCACGCTGGTATGGTGTATTTATTTGGAAATAATACCATAATTTGTTATATTTAATAATACTCATTGTGTTGTTTAAATATACAAACAACATGAATCTGAGTTAAAAAGTGTTGATTTGGTAATTAAAATATTAAATGTTTATTAGTACTATTATTTATTTTGTTTGTAATTGTTATATTTTAATTAAAATGTTGTAGGTTTTCTTCCCCATTGTTGATGGGAATTACTACCTTATATGTTTTAACCTGAATTTTTTTTTTCAATTTTGATAATTGATCAAAGGAGATTGGTGGGAACAGTTGAGTATGTCTATGGGAACAGACCCTACGTGCTGGTAAATATGAATTTAAAACTATTCATATATTGATATGTTTATGTGATTATGTAAATGGTTGATACAATTTGTGTGACATAATTGCCAAATGTCATTACCGTTTTGTTTGTAGCAAAGGTTTTTCTATCGTTTTCCAGATAACATCTGTAACGAGAAGGTGAAGACTCTGATGACAATGAATGTTGTGGTGTTGAAAATGAAGTGTCAAGCATATAACCGTTCGGTTGCTTGTGGAATTTACCTTATGTGACACATGGAAAGTTTTATGGGGGATCAAACATAAAAGTAGGATTGTGGGGTAGCTGTGGATTGGAGAACACAAGACATGTATTTACAAAAGTTAAGGTACAAGTATTTGGTGAGATTGCTTTTCTCTGATCATAATATTTTGAAGTGTGAATTTGAAAAGGAGTATGCCAAGTTTGTTAAGATGGACAAGGTGACAAGGATAAAAATCATTCAAGGGAATCTAAGAGTAGTATTCGATGAATCTATTAGTTGAAAGTTGATGGGGATGGTAGTCTTTTGTTTAGGTTTAATGATTGTTAGGTATGACAAATGTCTTTTTTTTTTGTGTCATGGTAGGATTTGGTCTAGGTTTAATGTAGTAGGGATTTATGTTTGTTGAAAGTGTGTTATATGTGTCTGAAGTGATTAAGTTGGTGGTGTTTTGAACCTATTTAAGATATTACTATTTATGTTGGATATGTTTGCTGAATGTTTTTATCTGTATGTGATGTGATTAAGTTGTTGGAGTTTTAAACCTATTTAAGATATTACTAGTTATGTTGGATAAGTTTTTTGAATAAGTTATAGACTGAAAAATGATAATACTATTTAATACATTTTTTGTAATGGTCATTTGATATTCAACTATGAAATTTATAGATTACGTAATTTAATGGCCTTTCATGGCATGTATTTTTAATGTGGTTGTATTCTATATTAAATAATACATAATTATCTAGATATTGAAAAAGATAATTATGTACACCATTTTTAAGTAGAACAAACAAATCATTAACAATGTAATCATCCATTGGTAAACAATTTGTTGACAATTTATAGTGGCCATATAATATATTAATTATGTAGTGTGTTAGTTGAATGTCAATTTGAATTTGTCGGTTTAAATTCTTGACGAAACAGTTTTGATAGTTTATATTCAACCAAAAAGTTGTTTTAATATGTTAAATCTAACTATGATGGTAATGACATCATAGTTAAACTGAATATTATTATGATTCCTTGGCAAATAAATGTATAAAACAAAAGATACTAAAAATGACAAAACAAGAACATTTATTCAATAATAAATAAAGGTAATGAAATCAAATAAAAATTTATAACATTCAAACATGTCTTTAAGAGCAAAATGACAAATCTAAAACATCCAAAGGTAAACAAAACAAATGAAATCTAAAACATGCATGCACAATTAAAAGATAAAAACATAATGGAAATATATATGAAATGCTAATTATACTTAATTATTCTTTCCAGGATGTTCTCTGAAAATGTTGTTTATTTTCATTTTCTTTTCCTAACAGGACAATTACGCCAATCATCACCGTTGCCCTTGCGACAATAACTACATCTGGAACCCTTTGATTTTTCTGTTGCAACCTCTCTCGAACTTTTCATTCTTTTTTTAGTACCACTTTGTTGTAGATTTCACCCGGATTCTCAATATCCACATAGTGGGTATGGTAACACCAAGTTTTTTTTCAAAATCTTTTTTCTTAATTCTTTTCTCATGAATTGTGAAATTGGAAAGGAATTTTGCTTCCAGAAGCTTTATTTCCTGCAAGTATTCATTTAATTTGGTGTGATCGTTGCTGAGAGAAGATACACAGTTGTCAACAGTAGAAAAGATATCAAGCACAACTCTTTGAATATTCTCGTTAGAATCGGCATATCGAAAACATCTCTTCAATAGTTTTGTGGGGATGATGTCCTTCTACCAACGTCTAAGTAAATATTTAGAAGGAATCTCTTTGATGTTATATGACTTCATTACAATGAAAATGTGGCGATACAAAATATCAAACTACTCAAACTTCATACAAGGACATTCAAATGTTTGTTCCTTCTTATTGTGTGCAACCTGGATTGAAAAAATTGTAGAGAAATTTGTAAAAAAAAATCTATAAACATTGATAGATTGAAGTACAAGTTTCAAGAGCGATCACCTTTTAAGTAGACTCACATATAAGTATATCCTATTGATCATCATTTTCAACTTCTTGATTGATATGAGAATCATTTGAATTAGAAGAATTATAATGTATAAATTCCTTGAGAAGACACTCATTAACATCCTCACATGTGCTGATACTAATTTGTGAGCATGCAACCATACACAAGTACATCTCATTCTGAACTTGTCGAAAGACAGTGCTGGTGTAAAACAAAGAAGCATTCCTCTCGACTTCATTGGATGTTTGTCGTTAGTATTGAAGTCAAATGATGATTGAGTGAATCTCTGCTTCTCCATAGCAGCTTCAAAAGAAATCATAAAATGTACAAGAGTAGAGCCATAATGAGTGTTTTGGTGAAATACATAAATCTCACTTTCAGAACGAGATGTCGTTCTCATTAGGCCTAATAAAGGTACATGCTTAAAGAATGCAGGTATCCATAAATGTCTCAAGCCATGCATATCATCCAACCATTTATTATTTGTGAGCTTGTATTCATTCATTAAAGACTTCCACCCTATCCCAAATTCATCAACTTCAAGCCTTGAATTCCATATCAAGAAGTTGATTTTTTTAACGAAATTCTAGATTGTTGACAATGTTCAAAGAAACCTGAGAAATTTTAATTGTAATTATAAATAAGTTGAAGAATTTAATGTAGTAAATGGTAACTTATTTGATGTTATAATAATTCATTTTAGAATAATTGTACTACAATTAATTTTCTAAATATTTTCATAAAATTTTGGTTTTAATACACTAAACCAATTAATTGTTTTATCGGTAAATTTATTAATTTATTAGTTAATATTACATACTATGTAAATATATTATCATCTGGTATTGAAATATACAATCACTTCATTGTTTTTGAAAAAAAAATGAATAAACATTGACATGCATCAATACCTTCAACGGAAATTTAGATGTGATATGTCACATGCAAAGCCTATGAATCAATTGTGGAAAGACAGTTTCAATGGCTTTCTCTATTGTTAGGTCTTGGTCGGATAAAACCAACAATGGTTGTTTGCCAAAAGATTTCAACAATCATATATAGGAATCAGTGTCTTCTTTGTTCAACAAGTCAGCACTAAAAGTAGCATTGAAAGGTAGCATCGAGAGAAACTACATCACCAAACTCTTTATAATTGATCTTGAATGTTTCATTTGCCCAGAAAAGAGCATTTAACTGCTTATTCTCAACTCGATACTCAAAAGAAAAATTCTTAACATTCTCTTTTCTATTATTCAGCTTGTCCACAAACATCTAAACATCATTACCACCTATGAAGCAATTGAGATCCCTCATGTAATTTGTGAAGCCATCAATTAGGCCTCCTACAAAACTGTATCCACCGAAAGTACTTGTATAGAGCCTGTGAGCTATGGTTGCACCAATATTTTGATTAGACAATGTAAGAATGAAAGATTTTTAAGTGTCACCCGAGTGCCTATGATGACGTGAAAACACCATATTGTCTCTTGATATAAGTGGACGATTGTGTTTTTCTTCAAATTCATATAACCACCATTTAGTAGTTCTAGGAAAAACTTTAAATCGTATATGCACGTTGCAACCTGTCCTACGAGTGTCAGTCCTTCTTTTAATCTTACTTCTTTTTGGGTCCAAAATATCAACATGAGATGTATTTCAGAGACCTTGCCTGTTACATACAAGATATTCATGTACATAAATTCCACACTTCTTTTTGTTTGTGACTTTCTAACATCAAAACCTGTTGCAAATGCATATTTTATGTACATGTCTTCAATTGCATGATCAGATGGGTATTTAAGGTCTTTTATTGGCTTAAGCTCATCAGAGACAGTTGGAATCCAATAAGATTTATCGGTTATTACCAAATGTTGATCAATACAATCACATGTTCTCTCTTTACACGATTCAATGTCTGTGACATCTAAGAAGGCACAAGTTAATAACAAAGTATAAATCACAATTCAATAAATCAAATAAAATGAAATATGAATTGTCAAAGAACTCTAAGTGCCTGACAACTAAAAAAGATTTTGATAATATACCAAGAATATGCAAATCATGTAATGTCTTTGAGAAATTTTTACCGACAATAAGTATAAAAAATAACATCCCAGGAATTTGCATTCTTTCAGAAATATTTCCAGCAAATGTGAACTCCCCTTCATGGTGATGATCCATACTATCGATATTTTCGATTGAGGGGTTATCATCATCAACTGAACAAATTTCATAATCTCTTGACAAGAATTCATCATCGATTGAGGCAGTTTCATCTTCCATTTATATCGTTTATATCATCAAAATCGTCGGGGAAGGATAAATCCATTATTAGATTGTTATGGAATAAAAGAATTGTATAGATTTGAGGACAACCTTGAATGGAAGATACGTTTCGTAAATGTTTGTTACCAGTGATATTAGAAGCTTGAAATTAGTCCACGATTGATGATTGATCGTTTCATAAATGTTAATAGTG